GATAGATGTTTGATAGGAAAAAAGGAGCAGACCACACCAGAGCACCCGCCCACCACCCACTGAACCAAGTTCCTGTAGAGCAACAATTATATATATGAAGTTTTAGTTATAGTAAGAGTTTTACAGCACTTGCAACACAATTACGTCATATAAGTGCCAAAGATTAGATTTAGTTTAGTTTTAGTAGAGGTTTTACGGCGCTCGCAACTGCATAAGGTCATATGAACGCCAAAAGATTAGAGGTGTTACAAGAGAGTAACAAACATAAAAAAGAAGGGGAGATAAGGATGGTAGATGTTTGACAGGAAAGAAGAAGCAAACCACACCAGAGCACCCGCCAACCACCCACCAAAGATTAGAGGTGTTACAAGGGTGTTGGTTTGAGTAAAGAGAAGCACATCGACACAATAATGGTCAATTCGTGCTGGGGAAAAGGAAGACAGACAGACAGAAACAACAGAAGGAAAGGTCAGAAGCACGACCTACGACCCGCGAGGAGAGATAATGACGATGTACTTTGGATAGGAAAAAAGGAGCAAACTACACCAGAGCAACCACCAACCACTCATAGAAAGGTGGTTTACAATGCTGTCATAAAGGTGGTTTATAGTGCTGTCATAAAGGTGGTTTATAGTGCTGTCATAAAGGTGGTTTATAGTGCTATAACATGGTGGTTTACAATGCTGTCATAAAGGTGGTTTATAGTGCTGTCATAAAGGTGGTTTATAGTGCTGTCATAAAGGTGGTTTATAGTGCTATAACATGGTGGTTTACAATGCTGTCATAAAGGTGGTTTATAGTGCTGTCATAAAGGTGGTTTATAGTGCTGTCATAAAGGTGGTTTATAATGCTGTCATAAAGGTGGTTTATAGTGCTATAACATGGTGGTTTACAATGCTGTCATAAAGGTGGTTTATAGTGCTGTCATAAAGGTGGTTTACAATGCTGTCATAAAGGTGGTTTATAGTGCTATAACATGGTGGTTTACAATGCTGTCATAAAGGTGGTTTATAGTGCTATAACATGGTGGTTTACAATGCTGTCATAAAGGTGGTTTATAGTGCTGTCATAAAGGTGGTTTACAATGCTGTCATAAAGGTGGTTTATAGTGCTATAACATGGTGGTTTACAATGCTGTCATAAAGGTGGTTTACAATGCTGTCATAAAGGTGGTTTACAATGCTGTCATAAAGGTAGTTTATAGTGCTATAACATGGTGGTTTACAATGCTGTCATAAAGGTGGTTTATAGTGCTATAACATGGTAGTTTACAATGCTGTCATAAAGGTGGTTTACAATGCTGTCATAAAGGTAGTTTATAGTGCTATAACATGGTGGTTTACAATGCTGTCATAAAGGTGGTTTATAGTGCTATAACATGGTAGTTTACAATGCTGTCATAAAGGTGGTTTACAATGCTGTCATAAAGGTGGTTTACAATGCTATAACATGGTAGTTTACAATGCTGTCATAAAGGTGGTTTACAATGCTGTCATAAAGGTAGTTTATAGTGCTATAACATGGTAGTTTACAATGCTGTCATAAAGGTGGTTTACAATGCTGTCATAAAGGTGGTTTATAGTGCTATAACATGGTGGTTTACAATGCTGTCATAAAGGTGGTTTATAGTGCTATAACATGGTAGTTTACAATGCTGTCATAAAGGTGGTTTACAATGCTGTCATAAAGGTAGTTTATAGTGCTATAACATGGTAGTATACAATGCTGTCATAAAGGTAGTTTATAGTGCTATAACATGGTAGTATACAATGCTGTCATAAAGGTAGTTTATAGTGCTATAACATGGTGGTTTACAATGCTGTCATTAAGGTAGTTTATAGTGCTATAACATGGTAGTATACAATGCTATCATAAAGGTAGTTTACAATGCTACCACAAAGGTAGACGGTGAACAAAGGAGCAGATGTGTACCTGGAAGAGGACCAATTCTTCCGAGGGGGACTTAGTCGTGGATCTCTCCTCCTCCGTCAGAGACTCGTAATACGCCTGGTACTTCTCTGAGTACGACTTCACTTCCTGCAGGGAAACGAGGAGAACGAGATTATAAGACAAGGGATCTCCTTTATTAAATAAATCCTCCACTGGAAAACTGGGCAGTTTAAATAAACCCTCCACTGGAAAACTGGGCAGTTGTGCTTTCACCAGCTTTTGAGACACTTACTTTACAGAAGAGTCCACTTAAACTGAACACGATTCATTAAAAAATAACGGTGAACCAGAAAAAAATAAAAATGCCCGATTTTCCTTCTCTACTATCTGAGAAATCTCTCTAAACCGAGAACGTAGTAAATCCAAAAAGAATCCGGTGTTCCGACAGATTTCAGTTTAAGCGAACTCCATTGTACAAACATGACATAATAACATATCGTGTGTTTTCACTGTTATTACAAATGGAGATAGGGCAAGAAAGCACTGAGGTCGCGGCATTTCTCTCACCCTCCTTCCCCAACATTAACAAAGAACACGGTCAGTTTACAGACAAACTCATGCCACTGGGACTTTGTGAAAATGGCTATAATTTAGTCAAGTATTGAAGGACCTGAGTTGTTTTTAGTTTTAGTAGGGGTTTTACGGCGCTTTAAGGTCATATGAGCGTCAGAAGATTAGAGGTGTTACAAGAGAGTAACAAACATAAAAAAGAAGAAGGGGAGATAAGGACGATAGATGCTTGATAGGAAAGAAGGAGCAAACCACACCAGAGCGCCCGCCAACCACCCACATGGACTTGTTTGTGTGAGCACTCAAACTACATTTGTATTCACAAAGGATGACAACATGGGTGAAAAATAGGAAGTGAATGTCGCACAGGATCAAGTAAATATTTACGAAATCTGTACCCCCAAAACGCCAATAAAGTAGGGAGCCGGTGAAAAGTAGAACCAAAACCATATTCAAAGAGTTGTGGTATTCAAAACCGACAAGACTGCTTTATACATAGGAGGGTCATTCCACGAAAACTGAGACTACAGCGACACACACGACGAGGAGACAATGTTAGAGACAACCTTACTTTCACAAACCAACTCTCTCCCCACCCCGTCACACAAAAAAATTTTAAAAACCCTCTCTACCACTGTTTCAATTTTTTTTAATTTCCGGCAGGTCATTCACCCCCCCCCCCCCTCTCGGTCACATGTGTCTCTGCAGTTTTATATTGTTACAAAATAGCCCACAGCAGTTCCCACTCCCCCTTCTCTTTTTGTAAGAGTATTACGGCACTTGCAACACAATAAGGTCATATAATTGCCGAAGAATAGATTATGCGTTACCAGAGAGCAACAAACACAAAAAAGAAGGAGAAGAGACAAGGACGTTAGACTTTTGATAGGAAAGAAGGAGCAAACCACACCAGAGCACCCGCCAACCACCCACTTCGTCACTTGTGTCGCTGCAGTTTTATTTTTCTATACAATGGCCCACAGCAGTTCCCACTTTCTCTACGATGCCAGACCGACACTCGGACCATTGACCGACACTCGGACCATTGACCGACACTCGGACCATTGACCGTCACTTGGAGCATACCATACCTCCTCATACTTTTGGTGCAAGGTGAGCTGCTCTAAGGCGCTGAGGGTCTTGTACTGTGCCCGGAGGGACGATATCCTCTCCTTCTGCGTGATCCCCGCCTGCGGCTGGCCAGTGGTGGACATGTAGAAGTTGAACAGGTTCCTGCGGGACGCGAGAGTGGTTCATGATGAGGGTGAGTTATAGTCAGCCCTATTCTCCTCTTCACACTGATTTTTTATGAAAATATTACATAATTTAAATCCCATGTATTTTCATGAAAATATTACATAATTTAAATCCCATGTATTTTCATGAAAATATTACATAATTTAAATTCCACGAGTGTTTACTATTCCAGTGCAGCCACAGAAATTTATCTTATCTTATTCATGAATAAACTATTGGAAGCTGCTAAACACTTTCCCCTCCACAAAAGAAAAAAAAAAAGGTTTCATAAAAGCCTCAATACACAATATCTACCATGCACATTCTGGACAAAGACTTCTCTTTGTATACGTATACATAGGTGAAAATTCTCGAAATAGTCATAATAGCTTATGAGACTATTCTGGGGGTAATGAAATAGATTGTTAAGCCTCTAGAGCTTGCTGTTGAGCAGGGATACGTACTTTTACAAGCGCTGTCATGTTTATTATATTACCATTATTATTGTAAAAATCAGCTGAGCAGATTGTGAAATACCTGGGAGGGACAGCCGGCTTCCCAGCAGACTCGTCCAAGATGTTTTGCTCCTCTTTCGAAATGATGACTTTCATCGGGCGAAACTTTGACTCGGGCCTCTTGGCCAGGTACTCGTCACAGTCAGCCTAAAATGAAAGTTCACCAAAAAAAAACATGAGTAAAGTAGCTGTTGTTTTGAGCTTAAAAACTCAAACGCCGACAGACACTATTTCCACATCGACAGACACATCACACCAGTACCTGAGGTCAAGCGTTTTTTAAGCACGTAGCTGTCGCACACGAGAGATCCCAGAGGGGAGAAATTTATGTCGAGTATCTCGATCTTTCTGCTGGGATATTGTATTCCTCAAAGCCCAGATCATTTTCACATGTTCAACTTTTAATTTGGTCCTTTCCAAAAAACCTTCAATAAAACTGTAAATGGCCGGGAACTGAGACAGTACCACAGAGTGCCGCACAGTGTGGTAACTGTAGTTGTGAAGGAGCAAAACAATGAAGGTTTTTCAAACAATTTACTTTACTTGCACTTTACTTGCCTACCTACCCACCTACCCCCCTCCCCTTCCCAAACACACACAATATGATGTTCAGGGTTTTTTTTGTTTATATTTCATTAGAGAGGTTGAAGCTAGAGAGGTGAACAGAATAAGTCTGATTCCCTGTAAAGACTTCTGTTGACACCCACCCCTTGGCGCTCATATGACCTTATGCAGTTGCAAGCGCCGTAAAACCTTCTACCATAAATTTTTTTTAAATAAAAAAGAGGGACCACCCTGTTGAAGCACTGGGGATCTTTTGCATATGTTATCATCATTCACAACCCCCCCCCCCCCTCAAAACTCCACTCCACCCTCATCCCAGAAGACTCAGTTTACGAGCATTAAGTACACACTTACCTTGTATGCTTCAATGCTGGCTTTTGCTTTCTTGATCCACTTCAATTTCTTTTTGTTTGGCAGCTTTAGGTACTTTTTGCTACACTTTCGTAAGGCCTGGACATGTGTCAGCTGTGAAAAAATGGGGGGGGGGGCAAAAATGTGAAAATGAGGCCAGACTATCAAGTTATTCGACCTCTGACAGGATCTCTCTATTTTGGTGAATCTCCTATCCAACCACTTAATAAACAAAAGTATGAACATTTCTTTAAAATTCTTCTTTTTTGTAAAAAATGTTTTTAAAATGAAAACAGAGTTGGAGTAGAAGAAAAACATGACTCCAATGAATTAAAATTGACTTACTTGACAATAATTTAATCCACACAAAAAACATTTTAAATAAAAATTAATAGAGTGAATTATATGAAGGAGTTTTTCTGGACCAAGTCTGAATTTTATTAGATTTCACATTTGTTGATCTCCTCAGGAAGTTTCCAGAGGCAAATACACATAGAGAAGTAGATGCAAACAATAATTTATTCCTGTTACATAATAAACAATAACTCACCAATACAGACAATTTGCTCTTTCTTTACTATCTTGACATCATATCGTCCTTATCTCTCATTCTTTTCTATGCATCAATATTATTCTCTATTAACACCTAAAATCTTCCGCACAATTATGACCTAATAGTGTTGCAAGTGACGTAACACTCTTACTAAAACTAAACAGCAGTCTGTTCGCCACTGTGCAAGGTCCAGCTATCATGTCTTGCTTAAGGAAAACACCCCCGTCCCAAACTGAAGACCACCCACCTAAACACTGTAAAACCGGCATGAGCTCGATATGGCGAGCCTGAACTCACTAAGCTTATTTTCAGTAAGAGTTTTATGGCACTTGCAACACAATATGGTCATATAAGAGCTGAAGATTAGAGGTGTTACAAGAGAAGGATAACCAACACAAAAACAAAACAAAAAAAGGACGATAGATGTTTGATAGGAAAGAGGGAGCAAACCACACCAGAGCACCCGCCAACCATCCACACTCACCCCAACCACTCTAACGCTGGAACCAACCAATCGCTTGCTTACCTCGGGATTCTTCTCCAGTGTCTTCTCCACCCTGGCGTCTGCAAACAGGTTGCTCGGCAGAGGAGCCCGCGGTTTGTCCAAAACCACACCCGGGTGTTTCTTACTGGAGGGAACATGATGAGAGTGAGAGAGTGAGAGAGAGAGAGAGA